CCACTCCCGGAGCTCCCGCCCCCGCGCTTTGTCTCTGCCTCCCGCTCCTTCTATCGATAATGGAGCTGAATTCAGGCTTTTCTGCGGCTTCCATGTTAATAATTGCAGAGGGACTCAGATCTGAGGCTGCAGCAGCTCCGTCCATCCCAAAAACCAGAAACGCGTCAGCTGCAAACCGCTGAGTCGACCACTTTAGATACAGCAGAACCTCTACATACGAATATTATTCGTTTCAGGACCCACTTCGTATGTTGAAATATTCCTATGTTGGTTCAAATATTCCCATCAGAATATACTGTAATTCGTATTATTGGTTCCATAAACCGACGATAACTCCTTAATAAATACTGTAGATAATTACACATAGCAATAAAACAAATGCATTATATAAGAGAGATGTAAAAATAAATAAATGATAAAGAATTTATCAATAAAAATGTTGTTTTATTGGCACTTATTGGTGAACAGAGGTGGAGACTGAGATATGGGACAAACCCTAACTTACTCTGACTTTCACTACTACTAACTAGAAACTAACTTACATTATTCATTTTTATATGATTTTTATTTATTTATTGTAATTTTTTTTCTTTCCCCATGACTTTGATGTCATATGTTGGAAATTTACTTTGGGTGTTTAGTCGAATATTTGATCAAATTTCCCTTCGTATGTTGGATAGTCTGTTTGGGCGTCGTAAGTCGAGGTTCTGCTGTAAGAACTTTAAACAGCAAACAAACACTTTTAGGTAGCAGTGAAAAGTTTTGGCTGCCGATTCAAACACGTCTGAAAAACAAAGAAAAGCTGTGAAGTTTTGTTGGAAAGGCTTCATGGGGACAGTTTGAATTCTCAGCTGAAATAAAATGCCCGAAACAGTGAAAAGAGCCGTTTACCAAACAGCCTCACGGCCCCTTTTCACCTCTAATTTTCACCTTTTATTCCATTTGGCCTACTCTCTGCGTATAAATGCAGATCAGAAGTCTGGAGCTCTGCTTCTGGATCAGAAAAGACGGTAACAGAATAACTCACCTGGTGAACCAGCTCAGGTCTTCTTCCCTGAATCACTGATTGAATGTATTTTGGTGACTTTAAAAAAACTCCATGACCTCCCAGCAACATTTAAAAAACGCATTGGTGCTTAAACATCACATCTGCCAAAAATAACCATAAAAATGTCTCATTATAAAGTCAAAATGTGTTATTTAGGAGTCCAACCCAGGAAAAGGTGTTCCCCCATTTTATGTTAAACAACAGTTACACACTTAATACGGTTTAGAGTCGGTTGGACTCTGGGAGCCTCAGAGGTGCAGCGGTGTGATGGAGATTATTTAATTTAAGGCTCAGATCATCCTCAGATCATCCGTCTCTCAGCTTTCTGCCTTCGTTTGTTTGAGTTCACTGTGAAGAAGAAATGTCTGAACCTTTAAAAGAAAATGGCTCATTTTAGGCCGATGAGCTACCAGCTAACAAGTTACCAGAGTGTGAGTCTGTGTGTGAGTCTGTTTGTGAATGTGAGTCTGTGTGTGTGAGAGTTTGTGTGTGCGTGTGAGTCTGTGTGTGCTTGTGTGTCTGTGTGTGTGTGAATCTGTATGAGTTTGTGCGTGAGCCTTTGTGTGCGACTGTGAGTGTGTGTGAGGGTTTGTGTGTGCGTGGTTGTGTGCGTGCGTGTGAGTTTGTGCGTGAGTCTGTATGTGTGAGTCTGTGTGTGTGTGTGTGTGTGTGTGTG